GGGGACCTGGAGTGACAATTATGGTACTGTCATGGGTGATAACTCTGTACACACTGTGGCAAATGGTGGAGCTGCATGAGATTGTCCCTGGGAAGAGGCTTGACAGATACCACGAGCTAGGCCAACACGCTTTTGGAGAGAAGCTCGGTCTCTGGATCATTGTGCCTCAGCAGCTCATCGTGGAGGTCGGAGTCGACATAGTTTATATGGTCACCGGAGGAAAATCTCTCCAGAAAGTCCACCAGCTCCTCTGCCCTGATTGCAAAGACATCAGAACTACTTTCTGGATCATGATCTTTTCTTCCATCCATTTCATTATATCTCACCTCCCCAATTTCAACTCCATCTCCGTCATCTCCCTCGCCGCCGCCGTCATGTCCTTGACGTAAATCAAACCTCTTTCTTTAACATATATATAAATAAATAAATACTAAAAAGAACACATGGTTGATATTGGTTTGTGATGCATATTGTTACAGTTACTCAACTATTGCTTGGGCTTCATCCGTGCACAAAGGAGTCCATCCGGATGTGGACTACTCATTTAGGGCCTCGACGAGTCCTGGAAAAGTATTCAACTTCTTGAATGCATTGGGAGATGTGGCTTTTGCCTACGCAGGTCACAACGTTGTGTTGGAGATTCAAGCCACCATTCCTTCCACTCCAGAGATGCCTTCCAAGATCCCTATGTGGAGAGGAGTTGTTGTAGCCTACATCGTAGTCGCCATCTGCTACTTCCCTGTAGCCTTCCTCGGCTTTTGGATCTTTGGAAACAGTGTCGACGACAACATTCTCATCACTCTCGAGAAGCCCGTCTGGCTTATCGCCATGGCTAACTTGTTCGTCGTTGTTCACGTCATTGGAAGCTATCAGGTCTTACACACTCTACTCTCTTTGAATTAAGAGTATACGCAAGCATATGGCATATCTATATGTTGACACCAAGTATTTGCTGATATATGCAGATATTTGCAATGCCCGTTTTTGACATGCTCGAAACCTTCTTGGTCAAGAAGATGAAGTTCGATCCGTCCTTCAAGCTCCGCTTAATTACCCGCAGCCTTTATGTCGGCAAGTGATCACTACTCTTCATCTTATAACATTGAATTTGAATTCATTCATTCATCTGATGTTTCTTCACATTGGATTGCTCAGCTTTCACCATGTTCGTTGCGATATGTGTCCCATTTTTTGGTGGACTACTCGGCTTCTTTGGAGGATTCGCATTCGCCCCAACAACTTACTACGTATAGTACCACTAACCATTCATATACATGTTCAGAAATTAGAATTGTGGTTTATTTATAAATTGATTTTTGCAACTGCAGCTTCCATGTATTATCTGGCTCGTTCTCAAGAAACCAAAAAGGTTTGGTCTATCTTGGACCATTAACTGGGTGTGTATAATGTTCCTTTCACTACTAGTGATCCATTTCTCTTGTGTTTCTTGGACACTAATCA